TTGTCCCCTGTCATGACTTCAACTGTCCCAGAACCCCCTGCTCCTTTGTCCCCTGTCATGACTTCAACTGTCCCAGAACCCCCTGCTCCAGTGTCTACAGTAACAACAATCACGGTGATGACAGAAACTATACCTGAACCGGAGGAAGAACCTGAACCACAATCTAAACCTTCTCCTACAAGGTCAGTTTCTCATCAATTAAAATCATTGTTGTATCTCAGCATCAGTGGTGGAATACAACAATTTTAGTCATTTGAAGGCTCTTTACTTCAGTACTTGCTATTCAATTCCCCAATTCTACATTTCAGACAGAAACATTTACATTTTAACTCAAACTTCTTAACATCTCAAGTTTCATTGCTGGCAACTTTGTCTATGAAGGTTTTACATATAAAGATCAACTTAATATCTTCTCATATTGAGGATTATTACAAATGAAACCACCAAACATCACATTATTCAGTGATCTTATTATCAGTGATCAACGGTCCAGTTATTACCTCTGCCAGGGAGGTTATGTTTTCATCTGTTTGTTTGTTTGGTGGTTATTCAGCAGGATCATGCAAAAACTACTTATCTGATTTTTCATGACATTTTGTAGCAGGGTGGGGCATGTTTCAGGGACAAAACCATTAAAGCGTGTTGCAGATCTGGTTTGATAAATGTTATTTTCGCTTTAACATTGCCAGACAGGAGGTTTTTCAAAAATGTAACTGAAAATTCATACAAAAATTATATTTTTTGAGTGAATCTTATGAGTTTTGCAGTTTGAGGTACATCAAAATATGTATCTGGATCCAGTAAAGATGTGGTTTCATAAGGGGACTGCTGGGCCTTGGTATATGCTCTACTGAGTAGTTGAATATAAGAAGATACAGGAGCCTTGGTTCTGCCACTGTTCTGTCTTTAAGTACATTTTGGTGACAATAATGTTACTACTTGTCCAGAGCAAAAAGTTGGAACACAGAACTTTTACCTCTAAGGTAGAAGTAAAGGATTTTTATTCTATATTCAACCCCAGCAACAGTATAACATATACTAGTTCTGTGATAATGAGCCTCAAACATTAACCACGATGTTTGTACAGGTATTCTAATAATGTTTGAATATCGTAAATTCTTAAACAAAGCTTAAAATGTGCTTTCAGATTGTTTTCTTTGTTCATGTCGGTCGTATGTTTGCTCTCATTCCTTTCACATGTGTGAAAGCTGCCCTGGAAAAACCATGTGTTTGTTCTCCATTTATCTTCACAGCTCCAGAGTTGACACGCTCGCTGCCTTTTACGACACTCTTGTTCCTTTTGCCACAAGTTCAACCAGGTAATGGAAAAAGAGAAAGTTGAAAGCAATATGTGTACATATATATATATATATATATATACAATATGAAAAAATAATCATTACCATGGCTCTAACATGCTTCAGCCTTAACAACATGCCATCTGATAATCACAGTTTCTTCATTCCTAGTCTCAAAGATGATGAGCCAGAGCTGGCAAAGGAACAAGGAGGCTCAGCAGACAGACGCACCACAGAGAGCAGGTACAAAACCCAACAGTTTCCTCATTCCTGTGAATCCTGTCATAGCAGAGCTGGCAAGAAAACACATAGTCACAAAAACCGCCGCTGTGTTCACTTCAGAGTAATCACAAAGTACCCCAGATCTCAGTTTCAGTCACCTGAAAGTACCTCACACAAGAGGGTGTCCCAGATTAGCTTTCATATGTGGCACTTAAAAAATGCAGTTTGAAGGTGTGTGTGTCTGTGTATGTGTGTTTGTGTGTGTGTGTGTTTGTGTGCCAAAGCAGGTGCACTCATTTGCTCTCTTACTCCCTGCAGAGCTGCGGAGGAGCCCACTCCAGTTCTCAGCAACTGTGAGCCAATGATAGACGATCTCCTGGCTCTTGATGATGGGTTTGTTAACAAATATGTTCTCACTGATTGTGCAATTAAGCAATCGTCTGAATATTTCCCACAAGGTGGCACTGTTGGACATCTAATGGTTTCTAATTCAACTGGTCTGCTCCTGCTCTGAAATATCCTCTGAAATATCCTCTGAATCCCCAAACCTTGCTCATCATGTTCTCCTCTTCCTCTTCCTCCTCCTCTCCATCGCTGCAGTCATCAGGAGGTAGCAGAGCCTGTTCCCCCCAGCCCAGGACGCTGGAGTCAGGATCTGCTCAGTGGATTTGATAGGTAAAGAATGAACTCTCTCCCACCCAAACCCCACATCCATCCATCCATCCATTATCTAAATGGCTTATCCTCTGAGGGGGGCAGAGGAAGCTGGAGCCAACCCCAGCTGTCATTGGGCAAAAGGTGGGGTACACCCTGGACAGGGTGCCATTATAACACAGGGCTGACATATAGAGACAACATTCATATTCACTCTCACACTCACAGTCTGTACTCAGAGCAAATCCACGTAAACATGAGGAGAACATGAAAACTCCTCATATAAAGAACCAAGCTGAACTGGGTTTCCAAATTTGAATCTCTTGCTGTGAAGCAACAGTGCTAACCACTGCTCCACTGTGCCACCCCCACCAAATGCAGAGTCATGCACAGAAATGTCCAAGCTGGAACATCACCTTAACTCACCTCTTCCAGTTTGAAGGGAGCTGGTACACAAATGCTGTATTTTAATTTTGTGTTTTTTGCTTTCTTCAGTGAGCCAAACCCAGCAAAGACCAGCGGCGCCCTGGATCTCCTGGCTACTGATGTGATTCCAATCAACACAGAGACACGCAGGTAAGAAAGAGTCCCATTCACTTTTATCACAAAATATGGGTGGAAGATTTTTAATAAACCTCCAAATCTGCCCCAGAGTTTGATCCATATATCGAGCCTCCTCCACTTCCTGCGTTCTATTCTAACCCCTGGAAAGAGTCGAGGTTTCCTGAAGCGACTGAGTTACTTTGAAATCAGAAAAGCAGAGTCTTATCTGCTGCACGACTGGAAATAGAAGGAAATGCTGTACTGATTAGTATTGTGGCTTTGTTTTGTCTCCACCAGCCTCAGCATGCAGCGAGAGGAGGAGAAGCAGACAAATGAGACAGTCGTAGAAACACAAAGGTAGAGGGGAGATGACAGGCTGCTCTTAAACAATTAACTATCTGCTCCGAGCTGCTCCCGCTCACAAATACATTTTATTCAGATGTGGTTTACTGCATACTAACGCTCCCTCTGCCCACCAGCCTCACAGAGACCGTCACTATAACCACCAGGACCGTGACTATTACTGACAAAAGGTACGAGACACACACAAACAGAAGACGTCTGGCCTGCACTATATTCAGATGGTTTTCCTGCTTGTTAAATAGTTCAGTAGATTCCAAGCTTTTCTAATAGAGTGACACTTTAAATAGTGTATGAGAAGAACCACACTAACCTTTACTTGCCCTCTTTTCTTTCTTTTTTTTTTATTCCCATCATGCCGTTCATCCGTACCACCCTCCGTATACCTCCCCTCTGTGCAGTGAAGAGGACAAAGCAGATCCCTGGAGCTCACATGTGACAACAGTAGTCACTGAATCGAGGTAGTTTGTTCTACTGTCACGTCGCATAAATCCCAGTGCTTTAAGATGTCTGTGTTACAGACACATGTGAGTGTTTGTAAAAAAAAGTAGTTAGCCCCATACTGACGCTGAGTAAAAATGTAATTTACTTAAAATAATTGATTCAATTGGGAGAAACATTCATTGAAAATAATCAAATTAAGATTAGAGTGGTTAAAAAGATAATATTGATTGTCTGTCATAAAAAATCTAATTGGTTAATTATCTGAAAACACAACAGATGAAATGAATGATTTCTCAGTGTAATTGGTATTGACTGTGACCAGGGTTCATTTTAGGTGAAGAAAACCTGAAATACACCAGTTTTTTCCTCCATTCGGCAGCACAATAGTCTTTCCATTTGTCAAAGACATCCCGATTGTGATTTTGATTGAGTCTGGCCGCGGGCGCCTCTGTGTTTCTGTTTACCATTCAAACTGCATTAAATCTTTCCATTATGAGTCAATGTGATCAGAATTCCTCCGACACAAGATGGGCCACGCTGACAATTGAGAGTGAAATCAGTGTGAAATTGTTTTTCAGCTCGGCTGATCCATTTGATCCATATCCGATAGGGACCACATCCCCTAACAGGTAATCATATTGGTTTGGAGCTGTGACTGTTTTCCAGCCAGCCAGATAGCATCTCGCCATGCATAATGCAGCACTTTCTGATTATGAGCCACTTTCTCTTCTGCAGCTCCTCTGACCTTCTCCAGCCCCTCGCAAATATTTCCATCAACAGGTACACGAATGATAATGCAAATGCCTCTTTTTCTATACTCTAACCTCTGTTTGTCACATGTTACTGCATCATATCCTCTTTACTACAACTGCTTCACTTTGTGACATTATGGCAATCTATAATCAGCAGAAAGTAATCTGCTGTGTGACGACAGCTCATCTTATTTATATGCATTGACTTCTTATTTATTTCCTTTTTTCTTCAGAGCACCAACCACGTTCATGGAGAACAAAGATCTGAGTCCAGAAACAAAGTAAGTTAGTTGATTTTATCTCTTCATCTGGAATCGATATTCTATGACTTCCAGTGTTCATTAATTTGTTGATTATTTAAAAAAAATAGATAAGAGCTGAAATGATTAGAAAATTAATCTTATCAGAAAATTCATTGGAAACTATTTTGATCATCGGTTCCAACTTTTAAATGTGAGGATTTTCTGCTTTTCTTCATCTAAAATCAATGCATGTTGAATATCTTTGGTTTTCTGGACTATTTCCTTCAGTCGTGAGAAACTATAATAAGTTCTTTACTGTTTTCTGACTTTCGACAGATAAAACAAAGTAGAATGGCACCCAGTAGAGCACAAGACCCAACAGACCCCCCCTTAATTCAATCAAGCCGCCACAACTTTCACACACTCGTAGATATCAGTCCCATAAATGTGTCTGATCATTTGAATCAAGACCCATGAATTATTCCTTGGGAAATTATGAAATTGTCAAAAACCCCATTCCACATCCTTCCACCAAGTTGTGTGATAATAATCTGTCCAGTAGTTTTTGCGTAATCTTGCTAACAAACAAACAACACTCATTTTCTTGAGGGAGAAAATAATCTGTAGATTAATCAATAATGGAAATAATGGGTAGTTGCAGCCCAGCAGTACGTTAAAAATAGTTCAGTCTATAAAATATCAGAAAGTTTTGGAAAAATGTTGGCGTGAATTTTTCCGAGAAATCAAACATTTGTTTTTGAATGTTGAGCAGTGAAAAAGACACTCAGATGATAAAGTTATTAAACAGAGTAAAGTAGTGAATTCCTCCCTTTAAGAAACTGGAACTAGAAAATTGTCCCATTTTTGCTTTAAATTATCAAAAGGATTTTTTAACTAAATGATTAATGAGTCGTCATTTCAGCACGGAAATGGAAGTGTCTTTTTCTGCCATGTGACTGTGTCTTGAATTATGCTTTTATTCTTCTCTCGCCTTTGTGTGTGACAGTATGAGTGGCAATCCACTGAAGTCCCTCGCAAATGACATCGTCCCCATCAACACTGACACCCCCAGGTATTCAAGCTAATGCATAGCTGAGTCGTGAACGTGTGAGGGAGGATCTGCAGAAATCAATTTCTCAGACAGCGTACATTATTACCGCTGTCTAAAATGCTTCATCCGTCACAACTTTCTCCATCGTCCCTCTTTCCCTCTGTCTCCACTTTGGCTCTTCAGGCTCAGCACTCAGCGGTCATGGGCACGCACATGGGAAACCATCACACCTGAGCAGACCGGCACAGAGGAGAGGTGATGACACACTTCGATTTACTCTTACACTTCCACACACAATGAGGCCGACCGTGTTCCGTTCATTCATCTACATGCGCCCACGTCCTTGTCCATTACTCACTAAAAGCCTTTTACTGTACGTCCCCTCTCAGCCAAGAGGCCGAACCGGAGGACCAAGCTGGAGATCAGCAGACAATGATCATGTTCGAGAGAAAGTAAGTCATCGTTTTTTTTCTTCTTTATTTTGTTAAAAGCTTCTCTGCGCCTATTATTCCCATAACCCACTTCCCTTTCACTGTCGGTGAAGTAACTAGGCTTTTGCAGCATCTATTCACCGAGCCATGAGACAGTGTGCACTGGTGCTGATGAAAATAGGTCAGCTACTGTATATATTGGTTACAACGGTGACACATACAGATCAACTTCCAGCCTTTTATCTCTTTTTCTTTTCTCCCTCCAACAACACCCATTGTGTATTTGTCATCCTATATCATGTAATGCCACGTTTTTGTTTGTGCTCAAGGTCGAAGGAGAATGACTCCCCATGGGACAGGTGGACATCACCCACTGTCTATACCATCACTACAGAAGAGGAAGAGGAGGAGGAGGAAGAGGAGGAGGAGAGGTATCTCTACAGAAGCTGAGCTCATTAAATGCATATTAAACGCTTTTATTTATTTTTTGTACCGTTTTAGCGGGATGTGATTATAGCACCTTAACATTCAATGGCTGTCAACCATTTAATTGAAAGCGAGCTAAATACAAGTTCCTCGCGGCTCACTCTGAGAATAATCATCTTCTCCTCAACTTGTTTTTTTTTTTTTAAACTTTAATGCAGTCACGGTTTTTCATCAGTGCTGCCAGACTTATTATAATGCTGGGATGTTCTCTGTTTTGCAGCCCCGAGGATACACTCACACAGACAGTCACAACCGTCACCACCATCAGGTTGGAGAAACTTTTGAAATCCTTAAAAAAAAAAACCTGCTTTGTGAAGATGAAACCCCACTTTGTTCAGTTTAGAGAGAGGGGGAAGTGTGAGGGGCATGTAGGTGATGTTTACAATTAAAATGCACGGGGGGAGGTGCTCAGGATGAGGCAATGCTGCAGTACAAAAGAAAACAGACCACACCTGGTCAATAAACCCTGATCCCTCTGGAGCTGTGAGTTAGAAAGATCAGCTTTATACACTTGGCTGGATCGCGTCCAGCTTATTGACTGCTATAGCCTCCAGTAAAAAGTCTAATACAGCTTTCCTTATTTTTCCAGGGAGATACACAGTGAGCCAGAGCCTGCTATGGATCGGTAAGTTTATGATTTTTGTTAGTGTCAGACACAGCATAATGCAAGACGACTTTCTCCAGAGTGTTATTTTCAACTATTTGGTCTGCTGATTTTCTCACTTTTATAAAAACACTCCCTTTTGCTGCTAGAGCGTTTTGTCTTTTATGACTGCAGGAATTTCCAAAAAAGGAAGGAAATTATCAACCACAACAATAAAACCAGTTCCCTTTTTTGACTGTTGTAACTTTCTGTTTAATACTAAACCCTGGATCTAGAGTTACCTACAACCGTCTCAACTCTCAACTTGCTTGAAGTTAAATAATACATTTTTTTCTCCCATTGTCTTTCCATTTGCCCTCATTTCCTTCCCTCCAATAATCAGTCTCCAGATGTCAGATTAATGAGGCGTATTAGTGATGTCAAATCACAGGCCATTAAACAGCGTGCCATTAACAAGTGATGGCAGAAAATTATTATCTCCTGAGTTACATTTGACAGATGCAGAGATCCCTCTGTAGAAGCCATCATGCTGCTGGCGTCAGTGAATGAACGATGAGACTAACGCTGCTGCACTTTGTCTCCAGTTATGAAACCTACTCCAGGACGGTGATGGAAGAAGACCGCTCTGTCCAAACACCAGAACCTGAGACCAAAAAGTGAGGGATTTGACTAAATTACACTTTTGAATTTAAGTGACATGTATCTGTTTCAACTACTCACACTGTCCTTCAATCCCCTGCCTCTGCTCAAGGCCGTTTGTGTATGTGAAGGAATACGTCAATACCTCGGAGCTGTCCCTGCATAACGCCAGAGATGAAATCAATAGGTACGGCCACAACATTGTTTACACAATCAAATAACAGCATTGATTTTAAAAAGAAAACTGCTGAAAAACACGGCTTTCGTGATGAATCACTTATTTCTCTTGTTTCCACAGAGGGTCGGATTATTTGACATCGAGCTCTAACAGTTACTCTTACAGCAGCCCCTCAAGTTACTCCAGGTAATAACACAGCTCCCTAAACTTGAATTAAACCAGGTATAAGAATTTTCCCCTGACACTTGATCTGCTTTCATCTTTTGTTTTCAATTCAATTGATTTTACCATTTACACGTCACACGGTTACTTTTAAACAGAATTTCACTTCCATTAACATTTCAATTCCTGTCAATGCTTGCACTTCAATTGACGCTATAAATACTTTCACATATGAGTTTTTAAGCTTTGAACAAGAATTAAAACTTCCCACAGTTCTTTCAGTTTATCCCCTTCATAGAATCTCCAGCTCAGTTTATCACTTCAACTTCCACTGTCATTTCGACTCTTTTCAGCCTTTTTACTTAAAACCTAAAAACAAACTTCAGCAATTTAACATAAGCTAACAATTGTTTCAGTTACTACACTTTCACAAAATAGCTGACACCAGCTCAATTTATAACTTACACTTCAAATTGCTTCAAATCCTTTCAGATCTCAGGTACTGAGCTCTCAACGACAATTACAACTTCCCACAAGTTCCACCGTTCGTTTCCAATTGCTTTCGCAGCTTACGCTTCAGCCGACACTTCTTTAAGTCTACACACTTTCATTGAATCTCCAGCTCAATTATATTTAGACTCTTTTCAGCATTTTCAAGTCAACTTAAAAAACCATGAACTTAACTAAGACCTTCCACTTAAACCTCTTTCTTCACTTCTGTTCTACCACTTCACCTCCCTTCAGTATTTGTATTGTGATTGATGTATCCTCTTTACCTTCATCTTCTTTGCATTTCAAATGTTTTAACTGCAAACAGTATTCAGCGAGCACAAGTACATTTTCTTCAGAGGGTTTTGCTTTTAGTAGTTGCTCTTGTTTTCATAGTGGGTCAAATTATTTGATACCAAGCTCCTCCACTTAACCCCGGGCCACAGCACAATTCCCTGAACCTGTTTCAAGCCAGCTTTAAGCTGAAGGTCCCCCTGCCTTGTTGTTTCCCGTTCTGATGAAACTAGATATGTGTAAGCAGCAGGGCAGAAATTCCACCAAACCTGCTCATTAGGAGGCTAAGCAGGGATATGAAAGGATTATTTACACTTCTTAAATTCCCTCACACAGGACGGGAACGGTCGCAGGTTATTTTAGCAGACAGAGCTGCTGCGGTTGCACGAGAGATGTGTGCGAATGAGCTGCCAAACTAACTTGTCTCAATCTTCCCCAGCAGCTCACTGTCATCCACCTGTACATTCTGCAGCGAGCAGGTTGGCAATGATGCTAAAATCACCATTGAGCACCTCAATATCAACTGTCATCCTGAATGCTTCAAGGTAATTCATCTACCTGTGCAGATGCACTGTGCTTTTTATTGGCCTCTATAATAATGGAAACTGTTGGAAACGCTGGAGTAAATGAGCATTTCTGAATCAGTGTTTTTGCTGAGGGTTGGATGAGCAGAGTGATGTCACTGTCTGCACGTTAAATGAATGACAGAAACTAAAATTACACACAGCTAAGATCAGAATCCAGCCTGTAAACAGTGGGAAACGCTATAGTTCAACAGTTTGACTTCACAAAGTGTAGTCAGGTTTCAACAAGTGAATTTGAAGATTTTGTAAGATCTCTTTAACACCTATGTCAAGTACGACAAATCTGAAGGAATAACAGGGAGCCAAATTTTCTCACACTTCTCGTTCATTGAAAATAGGGTTAAGTAGCCTGGTAGAGGATAACTACATGAAACGCCACATTATCCCACAAAATACAGAGGAAGTAGTTACAATATTTCCTACAGCCAAGCTGAGGGTCGTTACCAGTTCCCTGTTGGTCTTGTTTGTAGTTTTATTACAGCGTGCTAATATCTGTGTCATTGAGAGAGAGCTACAACGCAGATGTTATAAACTAAGCTGCCAAAGTAAGTCATTTTAAAGATATGAAAATAATGACAGATGCATTCTGGAGACAAGTCTTTTAACGTATTTAAGACTTTTTTAAGGCTTTTTGAGATATTTAAGGATTACATTTTTAAATGTATTCTATTCTTTGTATCCATTGGCAAAGCAGTTGTTTTCCCCATTAATATAGAACTATTACTTTTTAAAACATTTAGATAAACAACTGGTCTAATCAGTCACTAGTGCTAAAAGTTTTCTGTGTATTGTGTAATGAAACAAAGAGTGACTGAATGTCTAGGATGTGCACTGTGGTTTCTGTTCATTACATGTTCTAATGGCATTCTCACCATTATTTTTCAGTGTGGTGTGTGTAGTAAGCCTATGGGAGACCTTCTCTTCAGTATGTTTCTACACGGTGGGAAGGTCCACTGTGAGAACTGCTACTCCAAAGCTTTGGACTGATTGTCTGAGCTCTTCAGCGTCCTCTTATCCTCGCCCCCTTCCCTTCATGTTCATTTGCATATAAAGTGAGAACTGTGCTTTTCAAAAATGTTGGACTGTGTTCAGTTTGAACCTTTCTGTGGTTTAGGGTGATCAAAGGCTGTCGTAGTGAACAATAAGATTTCTTTAGCTTCCATTAGGTTAAATTTCTAATTTCTCAAACATGTTATACAAGCTTGTGTTTGTTTGTTTGTTTGTTTTTCTTCCCTGGTGGTGAAAGCTGTATCTGCCTCAGTAGACTATGAAGGACGTGTCTGTACAACATGATGTGCTACATTTACCTGTGAACAAACTGGCAAGTGGGGTGCAATACTATGATTTAGATGTTTTGAGTAATTATATGCAAAATAATGACTTTGTTCAATGTTTACTTCCTTTGTTCTTCTTGATACAAAACAGTGTGTTCACATATATGATGCTTTGTTAACAAAATAAAGTGATTTATATGACCATGGTAAAAAATATATCATACAAAGTTAGTGTCCAAAGAGACACACAGTTACATGTTTTAGAAAAGCATGTTTTTTTTTAAATGATTGCACATAGAGAGGATTTTAGCATCATGTAACTGAATACAGTCAGTGATAGAATTAAGTACCTACCACAGAAATTCATTAGCTGAGCTGTTCCTGAAAACTCCCTCACAAACACAGTGGTGATTTTCCACTGGGAGTTGTGCTTAACTTTACATGTGCCTCCAATTCCTTGGTGAAACAATATTCTCCTTGCATAGTCACTTGAAATGGCTGTGTACATGAATATGACTTTAGCTAATAACCATCAGCTACCTGCTGAGTAACAGTTAAGAAGAAGCTAATGTAGTTCACTGGCTGCACCTCAATGGTCTTCACACACAGTTGGGCAGAGCTGCCTCAGTACTGAGGACGAGTCTTTGGCTCGGCCCCAATCCAATGAAAATGTGCTTCCCATGAGAATGTGCATCTCGAGAACAGCTGCACTGCATGCAGTTAGCGTTAACAACACAGGGCAGAGTAAGGGCAACGATGGCAACGCAGTTACAGTCATTAAGATACTTGAAAATATTGGCATATGGGACTCTAAAACATCATTTTTCCATTATTGAACCTGGGATAAAGGACTTAAGTAACACGAGTTGAATTCAATATCTAAATCTGTTACTAAACGGCTCCTAAGAGTAATAGAGTTTTGGCTCAGGTGCAGAAATTAGTAATTTAAACAGAATATTAGACCCTCTCCATCCTGTAACCAAGGCCTGTGTCAGTGTTTTCCTCTGGCTCTGCTCACAGCTATGTTTTGGATGTGCTTCCACAGCAGCGAAGGGTCCGACTCGTTATGTCTTATCAGAGACTCCAGCCCCTCTGCTTGGTCCAGACTCTGCCAGTAATCCTGAGGCCATGTTTTCAACCATCTGCAGTCAGATGCAAACAGATAAGACTCATCACAGAGGACATTTTAATTAGACAATTAAAATAAGATGATTTGTCTCCCCTCAATAAAATTGTTATTCAAGTTGACACACAGGGGTTTGAAGGATTTCCCAGCTGGCACTGCGGTTAATTTAAGACAAACTCACCCATCATCTTCAGATAAGTCTTGGACGTCTCCGTACCCTGGGCTGGGCAGGGGGCATCCCATGTGAGAGTTGTCGGCCATTTTGTGCTGAGGGGGTTGGTTCTTCTTGGGGGCTTTCCTGTATCCCCGTTCTGCTGCCAGCCGTGCGTTCTCCTGGTCACACACGAAACATTCAAATCCATTCAGGTAGTTTGGTTTGCTCATGTCATTAACCCCCCACTCGCGAGTCTCCAGAGCCTCCAGCAATAAAGCGTTTGTTACATGGATCGGCTTCTTAAACTCCAAATATCTTGCATATTCATCATCATTCTCGTCAAGTAGTTTGAGGAAGTCAGCCAGAGCTTTTGGTGAAGGGAAGTTATCGATGATGATGACAGAGTGGTCGTTGGGCATCCAGTCCGCCACCACAGAGGAGCCTCGATAGACGGGCACACAGCCCTGATGGAGAGGCCGCCACAGCTTCTCTGTCATATAATCTGGACACAGACCGTTCTCCAGGGCCAGGTGGAACTTGTACCGCGCCACAAAATTCATGAATCTGACATCCTCGCCAGTGGCGGTGCCCGTGTCCTCCAGATGTTCAGGTAGAGGCTTGTTGTTTAAGCATTTCCCATAAGAGTCCACCTACATAGACAGAAATGATATGTGAAAATTGAGAAACATGAAGGAGGCATAGAAAACATATGGGAATAAATTACTGATGAGACAATGATTAACATTTAATGACATAAATGATTCATAAAACCCTGATTAAACATTTGTAATTGAACTCTCAATGATGGGAATTTACAAACATCACTAAGAACATCATCACTGTTTAATATGTTGACCAATCAACCTGTGTACACGTATGCGTGGATATGTGAAAAACCCTCAGCTAGAAATTTGGTTTGCATGCAAGCCAACTTTTCTTTTAAGCACTTTGTAACTACGTTCGGAAAAGTGCTATATAAATAAACTCTATTATTACCTCCCCCAAGGAGGTTACATTTCCATCGACATTTGTTTTAGTTAGCAGGTTTTGGCATTTTTTGGAGGGGTGGGGTGTGACACAAAGAAGCACCCATTCATTTAGGAGTGTACCTAGATAAATGGGTCAATCCAGGAATTGTTTTTCACTTTCTTTAATATTAAAAGATAGGGTGTTGGTGGAGGTGTGTAGTCTCTGAGCACCTTTCTTTTTATTATTATTATTATTTATTGCAAGTAAAATTATCACAGCATCTTATTTACTATGATTGAACATTTTTATTTCCCTGGTCACATAAAGAATCAGTAGTAATCTAGATGAATCAGGTACTTAAATGGAAACAGCTACTCTTATTTGGCATTAGTCTTAGTAAAAGATGGCCCCGAAAGACCTCCTCTGTTCTGTACCTGGATGTACTTCATGAGCTCCTTGACATATCTGTCTCTGTCAGATGGTACGTCACAGTGAGACTGCATGTACAGCACAGGAGCCAGGCCCTCCCTCCTCAGGCGGTTCTTCTCCTGCAGGGACACGGCTGTGGGCTGCAGCAAGTAGTCGAGAGTGGGCAGCCACTGGAGGGTCAGAGGATAGTCGGACTCCCTGCGAAACGTGGCTGTGTAGTTGAACAGCCTGATTCCCGGTCCGTGAGAGAGGAAGTAGTTATTCATGGGTGACTCTTCGTGGAACAGTGCCCAGGTCTGGTGGTGGAGACGAGGGAGCGGTGCCTCGTAGGCCCTGAAGTCTGTCCCGTAGAAGATGATGGATGCTGTCCGCTTGTAGAGTTGCACCTTTCAAGATAAAACTCAAAATTACTGGCAGGACACTTTGGGATGATGATTATTATTAATCTGTGCATGCATCTACTCTCTGTCTAAACCCAGAGAGAGGTTACATATCTGTGGCACCTTGCGGTTACTTGTGACCAGGCAGGAGGACGTGGCACAGTCTATGCGTTCGGTGTCACCGGGGAAATGCGGGAACAGCCCCCCGGTCCACCAGAGGATGATGGGCAACTCCTTGTTGCTGCGGCGGTCAACGTTGCCGGGGCCTCTGTATGAAGTGATGATGGAGGAAAACTCCATGTCTGACAGAGCACTCTGGGGCTGAAAGGCTGCACGCTCCACTGCATCCAGATCCTCCAGGGAATGATGCTCATCTGGGAAGGAGGCGAAGGAGACCCACACCCAGCACAGGACTCCAAACAGCCCCAGACACACACAGGGCACCAGCCTGCCCCTACCTGCCATCTGTGGGGGTGAACAGAACAAATGAATCAGTTTCAGGGACAGATTGTAACCAGATATACGTGATACAGTGATATAACAAATCAAACATGGCTAATGTTGGAGTCTTCAGTTATGCATATCTAGCTGCCTTGCTTCTCATTTCTGAAATTAAAGTGCAGTTTCTACTTGAAGTCAACTTCATTTGATGAGCACCCACAGGAGAATCTCTTCAATTCATACGTGTCAGCCCTCTCAGAACACGCGTAAATATCGCGATACCGCGAGTAAACGAGAGTTTCCTACCGTTGTCACTGCTGTAAACACATGAAGATACGTTCCTCTTTATTCTTCAACAACTTCTTCCGTTATTCTCCGTCAAATTCAGCTCGTCGAGCGATGACAACAAGATGCTGCTGTGTGTACAGCTGGCCTCTTCTTCTACGTTTCTGCTTCTTTCCCCTCATCTGCTTCTTCTTCGGGTCGCAGACTAACGTAATGTCAAACAGCGCCCCCCACAGGTCATGTCCCGCTGAAGCCCTGCGACCTACGCTGCTTCAGTTTGTTCAGTGTTCAGGAGAAAGTTCAGTTTGTTTGACTATTACAGAGATTTTACTTATTATTTAAACCATTTTTTTAAAATAATGACATATTTAATACAAAAAGAACCAAAGGAAATAAAAAATAGATGTGTTGATTGTATCTGAAACATGTCATTTTAAAATGAATCAGACTACTTAAGAGGTATTTGCTTTTGGCCTCTGTACCTTTTTTATTGCGATTTCAGTTAAATCAGTTCTTTCGATTGCTGTTCTCCCTATTTTCCAAAAGTGTTTTTTGCCATTGGGTTATACTTTGCTCTGGTTGTTGTTGTTGTTTTATGTACATATCATATTGGTTTAAAACAAAAAAAATTTAAAAGACGTCAGAGAGACGTCAGAAAAACTTTGAAACACAGTCTTAACAAGTACAAAACAGAGGCTTCCTGCATTTTCTTTCCCTGATTGGTTTTACTTTTTTGGTACTTAATAATGTAATATTCAATATTTAAGAAGAAGAAGAAGAAGATTTACTTTATTGCCATGTTTTACACTTTACATGCATACACGAAATTCTTCTCCGCATTTAACCCATCCAGTTGGCACCTGTCGAAACACACACATGCATAGAAACACACATAGACAGATGCCATGTACACACATATACTGGAGCAGTGGGCTGCCGTTGTCAGCACATTGTTCTAATTAGTTTTTCCTTGATGATTTGTTTTATTTTTTATAGTTGTATGTATTGGATTTGTGTGTTTAATAAAACGTAGGACTGAAAGGTTCAGTGTGTAGAATTTAGTGACATCTGAAGTTGAAGTGGCATGTTGCAGCTGAATACCCCTCACCTCACCCTCCACTTTCAAACATGAAAGAGAAGCTGCGGAAGACTTCAGTTGTCATAAAAACGAAAAAATATTTAGTCTGTCCAGTTTTCATGGCAGCCTCCGTGGAGAGGACTGGCTCCTGATATAAATAAAGTATTTAAATATAAAGGGCTCATTCTAAGGTAAAGAAAACAACGATTTGCACAATTTAAATGAAACACACTAGTGAAAACATCATTAGGATTATTATATATTCGATTTCGAGACGCTTTCACCTGAATCTTACTCACTGAACCTTTAAGTAAATAGTCAAACTGAACAACATGCACTGTGTTGTCATGGTGTTTTGAAGGTGATGAACCTGTCGGACTTTAGGACCCCGCTCTGCCTGTGCACCGTGCACGTGCAGTTCCCTGGCTGGACGCGCGCACGTCCCGTCAGTCAGATGCAGGGCAGCGGGGCATCAAACATCTCCACCGAGGGACAGGGTGAGAGGAATCACACGTTTCTATGTTTCTACCGCTTCTGTCGCTGCGTCCATGTACTGACACGTCGCCGTCCTGCAGCGGCGGCTCCTCTGTTTCTCACCTGGCTTTTAAAAACTGTTGTTAGCCGCAGAATCCACTGAGGCTAACGGTTAGCATGGCCAGGCTGGAATGTCAACAAGCCGTTGGACTAGCCCCGGCTAGCTTTGCTAGTTTGGCTGCGGGGCTTGTCGCTAAAGCCTCAGACAGTTCCATGTCCTGTCGCGTGATTAAAGTTTTTATTTCGAAAACCGATGCCTGTTTCGGTTCCTGTTTAACTTCTGCTATGAAGCAGTGACAGCTTAGTGTCACATGAACCATCCACGAAGCAGTGTGGTGAGAGTTCCATCCTGCAGCACGTTTGTTGTTTGTGTTCGTCTGATCCTGACTCGCCCTTCTTTTTGTGGCGTAGGACTCACGCGTTACCTGATGCGTCTCTCTTACAGTCAAGGCTGTCATATATCATTGTAATGCGCATAGCCCACACAATGCCTTGATAGCATTTCATTTCAGTCAGGCTCCGATCATGTGTCAAAACAACTGTGTCATGTTGTAAATAACACGGTTGGGTTGTGCAGCCCAGAGCTAGCCTCCTGTCTCCAGCCACTCACCCAGAGAACTTTGGCAGACATCTTGGTCATTCACCCCTGTCACTGTGTTCCTAAAACTAGTCAACCATTACACATCTCTCACATGGCTTCCATTTATTGCCAGAAAGGTTCATTTGAGGTTAAGTGCAAATGTTGCAAGGAGGACAGTTTTTCTGCACTGAATCATTAGCAGAGTCAAACTGTGCGGTGTCTTTTTCTGAGAACTCAGACACTTTCATTTCCCAGCATGTGATTTGTGTTTCAGTTTGGATTGTCTATTAAATGTCTATTTTTGCCTTTCTCCCCCTTAGCCAGGTTAAATTGACCCTGGTCTGCCACCAGGTGTGGAGGGCTGTAACCCAGCGAGGAGGAGGGCTTTCTGGGTGAGAGGAAGAGCATGATGAGTGGGAAGAGCCTGCTGCTGAAGGTGATCTTGCTGGGGGACGGCGGAGTGGGCAAGTCCTCTTTGATGAACCGCTATGTCACAGACCGCTTTGACTCCCAGTCCTTTCACACCATCGGTGTGGAGTTTCTCAACAGGGATCTGGAGGTGGACGGGCGCCTGGTCACTCTCCAGATCTGGGACACGGCAGGTCAGGAGCGCTTCAAGTCCCTGCGCACGCCCTTCTACCGTGGGGCCGACTGCTGCCTGCTAACGTTTGCTGTGAATGACTTGCAGAGCTTCCAGAACCTCTGCTGCTGGAAGAAGGAGTTCATGTACTACTCAGATGTTAAAGACCCAGAGCGCTTTCCTTTCGTGGTGCTTGGCAACAAGGTAGACATGGAGCAGAGGGAGGTGGGGGAGGACGAAGCGAGGGCCTGGTGCGAGGAGAATGGATGCTGTCCTTACTTTGAGACCAGTGCTAAGGATGACACTAATGTCACAGCTGCATTTGAGGCAGCTGTCAGGGAGGTTCTAGCTGCTGAGGACCAGATTGACCATGCTTTACTGGGTAGTACTATAGATCTCCATGGCAACCGCAAAACCTCTCGTGCGTCTTGCTGCTGATTGGTCAGGTGTGAATTCACGGTGTCTTAACCTCTCTGGCTGAAACTTGCCTGAGGCAGTTCAAAGAGCCAGTCATGTATTGTTTAGGGTACACGTGTAGGTACAAGGTACTGATTACAGTATCCACTAAAGGTCATATGGATAAGATACAGCTGCTGTGAGGAGGGCGGGGTCAAGGAATTCAGCTGGCGTCTAGATTGTTGAATTAACAAACGGTACAGGCACACTGCAACAGGCACACTTATCCTTTCTACTCTGTCTGCTTCCAATGGTGTTGCACAAGAACATTTTTATCCGATGTTGTCTGCCTGTGCAGGGCTTTTATCAAAGAGTGCTTTCACAGCATTTATTTTAATCAAAAATAATTAGAATTTTAATTAACACAGTGGGAGAGAAAAGATACTGGTCCTCTACTGAAGAGCACACTCCGCAGCCACTCAACTATTTGTCCATGAGCTGATTTTACAAGGTTTTAGAAGGACTGACAGGATTGTCTTCTCTTTTTATCAGACATGTTAGTGGTTGCTGGGGAGTTAAAGTATTTTCTTTGACATTGACTGCGATCTCAATCCATGCAGATGCTGAGATTGATAACTCCTGACATCAGGGTGATGACCAAAATGATTCGAGGTACGAGGAAGTCAAATGATTGCTGCGCTCTAAGGAAAGATGACCTTGTTTGTCTTCAATAGGAAGGGAATTATTTATTGTTATTTTGAAGCTCTTACTTCAAACATCGGTACGGGCTAATGAGGTGCTCTTATTCATTTGATTGTCAGATCTATTACCACTGACTGCACTACTGTGTTAGGGGTCGACCGATAATGTTTTTTCAGGGTTCATATAGATTTTTAGTAGTCAAGGAGACCAATAACAATAATATGTTTAAAACCAATATAGACTACATTTGCAGTAATGATTTAAATCGTATTGTTCAAATGTAGAATAACAGAAACACAAACACAAAACTACTGCTACACAAAGGTACAACTGCTGTGGTGTCCAGTAGTTTTTGTCATTTTGTTCAACCCATTTATATCGATAAAGTTTTCGGCTCTCTTTGCAAAGCAATACAGCTCAACATCCCCAAACACTACATCCTCCAGACTGATCATACAGTTAAGACAACAACTCTCAAACACTTTTGATAAAAAGTGTCATGCAGGAAGTTTATTTGAAGACTATATTAGACTGCATCACTTTTAGCTAGGTGTACCTAATAAAACGCTGTAAATGAGTGTATATTTGTAATTTTCAGGTTTATGCACGGGCTGTAAAGTTCCAGAATGGACTTAATTAGTTTATCTCTGTGGATCTCGATGCATATACGCCCGGTATCCTAAAAATTATCTCTAATTCAATAATTTTACCGTTTATTATTATTTTACCCATACCCCTTTTAAAATGTAACTCATTAATATTTACAGAGACTACAGTATAATTGACTTTCATTCTACGTTTGTCTAAAATAATTTGACCTCTCCCAGAATTAAATTTATTTTACGTAACAGTAGTAGTTTTCGTATCACTGTTTTGCTGTATTCTTCATTACAGTGTTAATGACCTGCTCAACAGTTTTGCTCAAGCACTTATAGCTCTCTACTTTTTTAAAGCTTTCTCATTAATTCCACAGTTGATTACTCTGTGTTCAGATCGACAAGTTATTTAGCGATGGCTCCATCCCACTCTCTCCCCCTCTCTTGCCCAGTGTGTCTTGAATGGGTCAACAAATGAACTCGTTAATTAGATTGTTATGGCTTTGCAATTTCAGAGGAGAGGATTGTGGTGTTGCAACCTCTGCAAAATCTGCTGCTTTACCTTCAAGTAACACGCTTTGAGCTTTCACCGCAGCTGCTCTAGTCTGTACGTTCGTCTTTGCCCGTCTGTACCTTCAGTGTTTGCAGGTTATTTACTTGTGACGCGTAACCGATCAGTGTTGTGGGCGGGACAAGGCTAGAGAACACAAAGTGTTGATGACAGGCAGGAAGCGGCGGCTACATCAGAGCTAAAGTAGCAGGTACTTATTTGCACTTAGATAAAAAAAAAGATTCTGATAATCATTAAAATGCTAAAAAGGCCAATATTCAGTCGACCCCTTCACTGTGTAGCTGCAGGCACCAGGCGTACGAGCCAGACATCTGACCATATTTATTTCTTCATTTATATTTATGGACCTTTTTACTATTAAAGGTTTAGTAAATCTCAAAGTTCAGAAATAATTCTGCTGTTTTTGTTAAACTGCTGTTTTTCTGAGAAGCACACGTCCATCCTTTAATGTTTTTTTTTCATATTTTATTCATCTGATATTGACATAAGGCATCTGTTTTTGACCAGCGGCTGATGAGAGTTGGTGTTTCCTGATATGTAGGCGAGGTTATAATTATTTTCCTAATCACAGCATGTTTGTAATCCTGCGTCTGCTTCTGCTGGTTGAGTGACAGGACTTCACATTTCAGTTCTTCAGCTTTGCCTGGTGTCAGAGTCTCCTGTGCTTTACTGATATAACTGATACATCACACACACACCTTGTGCTGTCACTCTGGTCATTCTATGTCTCGGCTGAATGTGAGACAGCATGTGCACTATGATAATTCCGTTACTACTTATGCGTGTGTCACCTCTCCTGTCCATTCATACAGCAGTGTGTGAAACTTGCATCCGACTTTTCTAAGAACTTGATTAGGTTTACTTTTGTTTATCCGATCGGTACTTTTATTTCAATGTTCTTCTAACAGACCGCTTTATTTACCACGGGTGCATTTGAACCTTTGGATTTAGCTGCTTTTGTCCAGAGGGCAGTGATTTCTTCCTGTGTGGTTTTAGAAAATAATATACTTGATATTGAAACTGAGTTACACACAGTTTCAATAGATTCTCTTCAGTATTTCAGTTGCTGCTTGAATAGTATTTGATACCTTCTCAAACAACCACATCTGTTGCATAAATAAGATAAAATGTTTTGGTTGTCTGAATGCAAAGTCGCCATGGTTTCTCATTATGGCTCCATGTTCTCATACCTTTTTCTGTTGTGTTGATGTTATCGTGTAGTTTGTGTTGCACATTATTTGCCTTTCTAGTAAAAAATTGCATCATATTTCTATATGACTACCGACTAATGGTGAACATTACAATAGTTTCACTGTGAAAATGAACTTGGTCCAATCAGGTACACGCTTATTTACTTTATTATGCGGTTCTTTGTTTTTAATGTGGGTAAATTCGTTTGAGTATATGATCATTGTTAAAAGGTTTTATAAGATGTGTTGGAGCTTACGAGAAAGTTTATTAACTGTGAACTGATTAGGGCATTTTAACAAAGTAGAGCTGTTAGCAAACATCAATTCAAATTTAAAAAAAATCAGGGCTTAAAGTTAATAATTTTTCAGTGTTATTGTTTTCTGGCTCAAACAAAATACTTGTCTGTTTACTATACTTTACCATTTTAGTTTATAACCTGTTCAGATAATGTAGCATACCACAGTGTTTACCTGAGAACCAGTCAGCTGGTAGCATTACTCTATTACTCTAGTATGTTGCTCTCACATTTCTGTCTTATATCACTGCAACCCAGTCCTGTCAGTATTTCTTTTAAATGTTCCTGTAATATTTATGAATGTAAAAAACGAATTTCTTTGGGCTGTCCAGAATAATGGCTTATGTAAATGGTAAAGGGCATTAATTTTATAATTCTGTACAAAAAGACAGTGAACGTCTGTTTCACCATCGTCCCCTGAGTGCAATTTAAGCTGAGTGAAAGTTTCGACTGTTTGTCTTGATTCTGTGTTCAACTAATGGACGACTCTCCTTACTCCTGTTCTTTTGCACTACGGAGGATGAGACTGGGTTGTGCCAACATGCTGGCAAAGCGTCCAACACCCTCCAGTGCTTGGCTACAAATAAAAACATGCGGCATACCAAAAGGAAATACCATCTTGTCTGTTGTTTTTTGTTCTGATGCCTTGAAAATCCATGAAAGTATTCGGCTTCAAAAAATGACTTTCAAGTTGGAAACAAAAGACTTTTTTAAACTATTTTTAAAACCAAAAATAGGTCACTCAGTTTTATAAGTAACTTTAAGTTCTCCACCTTTCTCCAGTCACTTTACCATCAGGGTGAAAGAAGGCCTCAATTTCAGCTCTAATAAGCAGCAATGTTGAAAATAATTAGCATTTTTTCGATTTCGCAGTTCAAACTGAAGTCTTGATATTTTATCATAAAATGCACCTTGTTTGAATTTCATCACGCCAGACCTTGAATGTCATTGAATAACCAAGTATGTGTGGGACCCAGGAGACAGTGAACACTGTTTATTTTCCCTTCATTAAGAAAGGATAGCAAGCATGCACTGCATACTGTGAAATCTGACCTAGGCAGAATTATTTTTATCATCCTGCCTGCCTTTCAAAAAACTTTTTTTTATCTCTAACTTAATGATATATTCAGCCATTGGCCAGAAACAGAATATTATAGGAAATAAGCACAAAATATTGAGCATGTAGGCAAAAAAACCAAACAACATAACTGCATTTGTACCATTTTACAACTTAATGAAGGGAATTGATCTAATAATTACTACAAAGTTGACAACAGAACAGTATTTTGATGATCAGCTCAGTTGTGAAGCTTCTGCAGCGGATTTGGTGCCGCTGTCAGGAGGAATCCAACGTGTTTGCAGGGTACGGAGAACACAGCGTCCCCCCTCTGTCCCTCTGCAGCCTCCCACACAGGTCGTAGCCTGCTCTCTCCTCTTTCACCCTGTGCCTCAGCTTCCTCTTGTACATCTGGTACACAGCCAAGTGCAGGCAACCGTGCACCTGTGGACACAAGAGGAAAGAATACAAAACACCTTACAAAACACCTTGGCCCCCACACGAGGCAGGAAGCCAAGGATGCAGCGCTACAACAGACAGTCACACACGCACACTCTTCAAACAGACATTTTGCACAAATAATTGAAAGAATATTCATTTTATTATCAAATATTACCAACGCAAAAAAAGTAATCATTAAACAACCAGCTGTCACTTGACAAATCCACCATCTAGAGTTGGGTGAAACTTCCACCACATAGAATAATGACTGTGGCAGAGAGAGCTCAACGCACTGCAAATCAAGTAAACATGCAAATAAAAAACACGTGCAATTTTAGGAAACAACTTAATTAATTTGACAACACAAGCGAATACAGAAACATTGCTACAACCAGCGACACTTGTTTCCAGGGGACCCAAAAAACTGATGAACCTGGCTTTAGTTCAATGTTTTGTGAAGTAATTGAAGTCTGCTACTGGTCAGTGGTGATGGAACTCCACAAAGCATTGAACTACAGCCAGGTTCATCACTTCTTCAGTTTGTTTGTGTTGTGACTTTTTGCAGTGCATGTGTCGCCAAATTGATGAAGTTGTTTTCTTAATTCACGTGGTTTTTCTATTTGCATGTTTTCTTAATTTGCAGTGCGTTGAGCTCTCTCAGCCACCGTAAATAATCCTACTGATTATGTTACAAAACGTTTAGTAAAAGTAAATTCAGATAAAGTAAGTAAAAAAGAGTTATTATACAATAACTACAACACAACTCCTAAAAGTATTAGAGACAAAACAAAGATGTCCTACGTCTATAAAAGTACCTCTGTCATGCAGGGGGGAGTCACACCTCAACAATATGTTTTGCATCTAATAATGTGAGGTTACTCGATAAGTTAGCACCTAGTGCTTTAGCCATCTCAAAATGATGAGAAACAATTTCAGACCTTTCTAGATCAGAACTAAACAATTATGTCCCTTTGTCACAAAGAAACTATTCGAGATCATCTAAAATTCCTTCAGTTGCCTCTTCATCCAATCTGAATCTACAATTTCCATTATTCAGGGGCGGGGGTAGGGGTCAGGCGGCAGCATGTGGATGTGTTGTGTGTCTGTGTGGTTGCTGCCCACATGCAGAAGAGCTGCATTGTGGGTTTTGGAGAGGTCTAACCCTCTCTTTGTCCAGGCGACCCTCTCCCTTGACGTGTAATATAACCCTTGGCAGAGACTCATAGCGCAGGTGGCCCCCGGAGCTGGATCCTGATTGGTCAGCTCTCACAACAGGCATGACTCCATTGTTGAGGCCTTTCTCCAGCTCGTGAGAAAAGTCCTGAGGTCAGCGTGAGACGGCAAATGCACGCTTGTCTGCCACCATAGCAACCAGATGTGAAGGACGGTAGCTAAGACAACCTATAATCCCCCATTCTCCGTAACAGCTGCATTTGAGCTGCAGATGTGTTGCCAGTTGGTGGTTATTTCTTGCACATGTTAATATATTAGTGTCCTGTTATTATTAGACTGTGATGGGAAAACAAAATGAATTTAAGACACTACCCTCAGCAAGTAACGAGAGCAATGAATTACAAATATTTTTGGTGAACTGAAAAATAATGAAGTAACACAGCAGAAAAAACACTTGCATACAAAAAAGAAAGGGAAATACAAAATAATGTTGACAACAAGGAAAATAAAAAATAGACAGACAAGACAAGATTTCTAGTCCATAACCACAGGGGGTCCCGTGCAGGATGATGTGGAAGTAGAGAATTGTTGTTTTTGCCTTTAGAGCCCCATGTTGGTGACAGAGCAGACAGGAAGCTGGTGAGCCTAACACCGTGCGCCTATCCCCTTTCTCCCCAGATACCGCAGAACCGCAAAGTTATAGGTGGTCGACACAGTATAGGTCAGCTATGGAGGAAGAAGGAGAGACAGGACGTGTCAGGAAAGAAGTGAAGTGCAGAATAAATCCAGAAATAAAAATACTACTATATATCATCCATTTTAAAAGCTTCTGTAATGGAACTGTGAGTACGATGGTTGCAGCGTTTGCATGACTGGAAACCACCAGACATTACAGCATTATTATGATATTTGTATCAGCTGAGGAAGACGAACAGAGAGCGATAGTGCAGAAATCATCAGTCATGGAGGCCTGAGATGCCTCGCTGCCCACACTTTGAGCGTCACTTAGTCACATGAGCCATAACGCTATTGTTGTACCAAGCTGCGGACGATGTGCTGTAAAATTGACCCTGGCTGAAGCGTAGTCACTCACCAGAGCCAGCAGAGTGATGCCCGCTCCGGCGAAGGCAGCGATGTAGAGGTCGTAGGTCGTTCGGTACTGAAAGGAGGAGATTTGCATTGAGTGGTGATAACGTGTCTACTTTATTTCATGTCAGAGCATGACCGCAGAGCTTGATTTACTTCCTCGTCCCTTACCTCTCTGGTCTTGCAAACAGTGGACAGAGTCATACCACAGGCTTTTCCTGGCACCGCATTCCATGGCAGGAGCCCTGTGGAAATTAAAAGCATCTCATCAATCCTATTTAGTACAGAGGCAATAAAAGGACAAAGCTATAAAGTTATTCTTTATTTAGTTTTTCATACTGTCCACAAATTTCATGAACCAAAAAATGTATCTATCTGTTTTAAATATTGTTTTCCTTAGTAGTTTGTGGCTCTCACTGTGAGTCCATGTGTGGAGTAATCGGAAAAAGGAATTCTTGGCTGGTAAAATTCAACTATGAAAGTCAGTAAAAAGTTTGGTAAATTAGTTACAGAGTTGCTGACCTCATCACTTCACATCATAGTAGCTTCTTGTCAGATGTTACTCGTTACTTAAAAACTGCATGTCCATCTCCAGACCTTTTTATGATTAATATATATATTTATATGTGTTGTTATTTATTAATTAATTTTTGTTGGTCAGACCTGATAATTTTTCTTTGCTTTTCGTTCTAATGCAAACATTGTAAAGAGGTGTCAAAGTGTTGTTCAAGCGCAAATAAAAAAGTCTTTGCTAAAACAGCTGTAGCTTCCAGCAAACTTAATCAGAAGCGATTTCGGCTGCAAATTAGTACATATTACATATTTAATGAGCTACTGAACACATACAGCCGCAGGAGGCTATATGTGGGATTGAGTCAAAAACTACAGTGTGCAACTGCAACTTTGTTTCCCTTCTTCTTCTGTGTTGCAGTTGCACTGTACTGTTTATAGAAGAGCGAAGAAGAGGTGATATCCAGTATAGCATTAGCCAGAGACAGCTAAAATGTCAGCAAGTTGGTCATATTTCATGTTGGAAAGTTGCAGAGGTGAAACAAAAATTCGGTTTCAAGGGGGGGCACTAGAGTTGCCAATTGCACCACAATAACAATCTCATGAAGCATTTGAAAAACCAGAAGGGGCACGAGGAGTTCAAAGGGAAAGTATGTTAAACTAGGAAAAGATGATATTCTATTCATTCTCTGTATGTATTTGCCTTTCAAAGGGTTTAACCCTGAGCCAGGCACTACAATATAGCAATCATCACTTCATGCAGGGTTAGTAGGATTCAAGTGTTAAAATACGTTATGCAAGTTATATTTTAAAAGCACTGGTATCGGATCAGCACTCTGTATCAGCTGATACACAAGGTCCAGGTTTCAGAAAGTGTCAGCACATCTCCAGCATTAAGATCAATTTGTTGTTGGCTTTTGTGTTTTCATGAGATTTTTTAATAATGAAGAAAAAAACATAGAATATATGATGATTAATATGGCAGGTCAGAAACATATGTGGCCATAAAAGGGGTTTCTTGTTACCGTATTGCCTCGCGTCGACACAGAGCTGGTTGATACTCGCTGGGGTCTCGGTCAGGACGTCAATAGTGTGGCAGGTGGCATCCATGTTGTAGAAGAAGTAGACAGGCAGGGCGGAGAAGGCAAACACCAGCAGCCACAGCACAGCTAGTACGTATGTCATCACTATGAACTGCACATGGAGAAGGCGGAATGAACGTTACAGAGCATCATCATAACACACTGATGCACACAAGTAATTTAAGGAGAGTGGTTTTAATGAGCAGCGAAGCAATGACTCACTTAGTGACCACATTTATGTTTCCACTTATTAGCTTTGCTTATTATCTCACGCTCTGTTCTCGTCATTCCCTACCCCCACGCCAAAACCGGTCAAACACACACTGTTCGCTTATCTTTTTAATGTCCCCAAAGGTTTTTCAGCAGCCTTAAGATTTTCAGCTCAGCACCCACCAGGGAGTGATATTTCTATTAATCCCATCCAATCTCTCCAATCCCTTTTACTCGTCCCACTCTTGGCCCTCTCACCGAGGAGCTGAGGCAGCGGCCACACATGGTGCTCCTGAACTCTCCGAAGGTTTGCCTGGCAGCACTGGTCGTGTAGAAGCCCTCGGCCAACAGCACGATGCAGTAGAGGAGGAAAAAGGAGGCCAGGCCATAGATGACATACTGGAAATACTGTATGCTGAGGAGGAGAGGAATATAAGGAAAAGAAAACAGAGAAAATGCAGGGTTACAGAGAGCCCAGACCTTCAGAATAAGAGACTACAGCCCTGGAGAAAACCCATTTGAAAGGTTAAAAAGATCATCATTACATCACTGTAATGACAGTATGCTCAATTTTACTACCCACATGTAGGCAAGGGTGATGTAGTCCTGAAGGTTGCGGGCGAAGTAAGTCTCGATGAGTCTCTCTGTCTCTGTGAGCGCCTGGTGCCCACAGCCGCAGAAGAGGGCGATGCCAGAGAAACACAACAGTGTGGCGACCAGGGAGCAATACGGCACCCCAGCCAAACAGCGCATACAGCAGTCATAGCAACCTGTTAACAACACCAAAGTCAGGACACGTTTTTAAGTCATGCTTTATGAAAGACAACACGTGAGAAGTACTCTATTACATTGTAGAAATTATGCAGCGTACAAATTCAAATAACAAACAACAAATCCTACTTTTGGTTACTTTTGCTCATGTTTTGAAATGAGATTTACCCAATATAGTTTTTGCTTTGTTTTTTTCATCTGCACTGCTCTAAACTAGGTTTGCTACTTTATCTCAGTATTGATAAACATAGAAATTGTTGCATTAAGAAATATCCACAAAAATCGATTAAATGTCCACCGCAGTGTCTCACAACCCATATTGACTTCTTCACAGCCCAAAACAAAGCCCATAGAGATGTACAATACGTCCCCACTTCCTCCAGCTATCCAGAAATGAAGATGAAATATCTGAGTTATCCACAAATAAGTGTTTCATTACTAAACAAAATATTAAATCACAACTATCAAGGAAACATTTTCTGTTACACTGGACTTTGGATTGTGACCAATGCTCTGGTAGAAAGTAGTTCCCACAGACAAGTGTACAATGAGGTTGGTGTAGTAACAGGAACTCATTTTTCATTTTCAATGGTGTGAATAGCACACGAAATTCCTTTGAACTGAGGTGATGGCAGAAATGTCCAGAGATGGACATCATCAAACCCAGGCACATACAACTGAAAACTGAAACTATCTACATTCCTGAGATTTTATTGAAATAAATCTTTACCAAGCATTGAAAAAAACAGTGGTCGTGCTTCAATTCCTCACTGTGGATCAAACTGCAGCTGTAAACACTTTAGTTCACTTGGTAAAGCTGTGCATTCTCCCTCAGAGTCATGTGCTGCTTGAATGGAAGCCAAGGGCCAAGGGCATGGGGACGTGTCTGCTCTGACCCCAGCTCGCACCCTGACTCCATTCACCACCCAGCATGGGGAGTGTGAGAAAAAGGGGGAGGACAGAGAGGACAGACGAAGTGAAAGAGAGAGAGAGGCTGCTTTTGTGACCGCAGAGACAACAGTCTTTGTCCCACGGCATGATGGGGGTACAAGGGCCACCAATGTCAAGCAGACAAAGGCCAGAGGTACCTCCATGCCTGACACACACATAGACTTCCTTCTGAGGGGACGCAGGGACAAGAAAGTGATAGTGGGGGAGCTGTCTGCACTGAAAGAGGATGGAGAGAGAGAAAAACAGATCATCTATAAACAAACAAGGCAACTATGTGTGCATGTGTGCCATTACACGCTTCTATGCATGCATGCAAACAGAGACACACAATGGGAGCAGACTGACTGCGGCTGGTACCATTACAGTAAACACAGATGGCAGCAGGAGCAAATGGAAAGCTCTTTAATTGAACACAACTACATGGCTGTGTGTGTGTGACAGGGACAGACAGGCAAACTGTGATCACTCTCATTCATTGTACAACTTAACTATAGTATGGAAGAGGGCCCTTAGCTAATAACACACAGTTAATTTCAGTATTGTTCAATTAGAAAGGAAGTTAATTAAAGCAGGGCAATTACACATGCTTACGGTGGCCCTGAAGTGCTCAACAAAACGGGCGTATCACAAGCCACGACGACACATTGGAGAACACAAAGACAAATCCAAAAAACACAACAGCAAATTGCAAAACATGGCACAACATAAGAAGACCGAGCAGCAAATGAGAAATTCAAAAAACACAAAGACCAAAACAAAACACAACAGCAAATGAGAAAATACGACAAAACCTACAGCAAAGCAACTGACAAAAATAAAAAAGAGGCAAAAGCAAATTAAAAAAAACACAAAGACAACGAACAACCACGACAACATCTTCTTCTATAGGAAAAGGGGGATTTACCTGCAGTGGACACGGCTTGTCATTGATTGGATGAAAGCACTTTCCGTCGTTTTAACAGGTGACAAAATGTGTTTTGTGATTTGTTGTTGTGTTTTGTATACTATCCTTGTTGTGTTTTCTTATTTGCCGTTGGATTTCAATATAAGCTGCAGTGTTTTGCGGTTTGTGTTTTGCACTTCAGGGCCACCATACATCCTTCCAAGCGTGCACACGACAGGTGGACGCGGAAGAGCCATGCACACACATTTAAAAACGTGTACACACACACCAATCAATGACGCCAGCAGCTCACGCGCTCTGACCCAGAAGTGTGTGTCGCCTGCAGCTCAGGTGAAAACACAGGTTTTTAGAGTTTCTGGTGAAAATGCAGAGCTGAGGTCAGGTTGCTTAAAAAATGAGAAGGATTGCGAGCGAAAGCAAATGCGACAAGGCTCCTCTGGAAGAAACGGAGTCATGTGAAGCATGAAATAAATCTCAACATGTCAGTGCAGCTTCAGCCGGTGAGTACAGCCCACCTCTAAACTTTATAACTTCTCCCGCAGGCATGTGCAGTCCCATGAAACCACCTTTGAAAACAACAGGTCAAATAATAACTAATAAAGTTAGATTTGTGAAGGCAGCAGTTTCTTACCCATGTCTGGAAGGAAGGATGCGTTCACGACCAGTCGGTGACTTCACTGTGTCTGCCTCCTCTGCAGCTGCTCCACTGATGATGATGATGATGATGATATGCGCAAACTTAGTCTCCTCCGGCCCCCGGATATCAAACCTCAACTCGCTTTCTGTTCCCTCAACAATGGACAGACCCGCGGATGAGTGCGAGCGCGAACTTAAAGAAACAATGTCGCTTTTCAATGGGCCCCAGGGCGGAGAGAATAATGAGCAGTCCAAGGTCCCTGCGCTTGTTGAAATGTACTAAGTTCATTGTTGACGCGTAGAGAGAGAGAGCAACTTGCAATATATGCAAATTTAAAAGAGAAAATGTGTTTCCCCCCCTCTCTTCCCTTGGAAAAAGAAAATCTAACTTCTCTCATGAACTGGTCATTCCAGCCCTGCAGGGCCTTTTCAATCCCTGCTTCACCAAGGCCTCTGTTTTCGTTTTTTTTTCCATTTCCAGCATTATAAATAAAAGCAAATGCGAAACTGCTCATGAATCATGTAGAATGGGACGACTCTAACAGTGGAGGTGATTTGCCTGAGATAAAAACAGCATCAGTATAAACCAGTGTCATGTGATGTGCTCCACACATGGAAAAATGTCACATGCTATGTGTTTGGCTGCAGAATTACAGATGTACTACAAGGGCGATAATTATCAGTATATTGACTGATTCATGCTCCTGTGAAGGTTGTGGTTTTAAACTTACTCAAACATTTTTACCAAGTACATTTTTTACTGTACTTCAATTTTCATGTATCTGTACTTAAGTAGATCTATTTTCGGGTGCTCTTCACTTCATACATCACAAATGTCTATACTTTCTACTCCACTAAATTTTTGCAATGCACTGAGAAACATGTGCACATTGATTTTTATATTTTCGAAGAGTAATAAGTAAAGAGAGGTGCATTGATCCACTGATCCAATAATGCAGGCAGGTAACATTTGACCCTTCCTCCTACAGTGAGAGAAAAGTCATTAGTGTTTTCAGTAGCATCAGCTGCAGTATTCTTCATTAATGTGACCATCTGTATTTTTCTTGTAATCAAACAAAATATACTGTTAGCAGTTAATAGTGGGAATATTCGGGCTCGGCAAGTATATTTAAAAGCCAGTACCTACTTACTGTCACTCAATTAGAAAAGTTTACCTAAATAAATTTTGTCTGTTTCTTTGTACTTTTACTTGAGTAAAGTATTTGAGTGCTTCCTCCATCATTGCATTTCACAAATCTGACGTAGAGCAATTGTGTGTTACAATTCATCAACATGCTTACACAATGTATGAGAATGAGCCTATATCGATATATATATTTGACTTTTGTTATATTGATGAATATTGCGCTAATTATTGATATTGTTTAATCACCTAACTCTTCATTGTACTGAACAAGAAAGATCTGACATCCCAGCTGGTAAAAGTTCTTTAAATTCTTTTTGGTCCTTGAATGTTCCTTTAAGATATAGAAGCTTCAAGTGCTGTTCACAGAACATGAATATGTGGATTACTCAACTTCTAAAGAAGTCAAATAGAGCCTTTTAACATGGATGGTTGGGGGATGAAAAATCACTGGTACTACAGTTAGATGTAATTGTTATTTCATGTGTAATCATAAAATCCCTGATGTGTATTTCAGAAAAAAAATCCGCTGGGCATTTTGGTTCAGTGCTGTTTTTTCTTTGTCCATGTCAACTCATGCAACCCCGTAACCCACTATCAAACGTTTGTGCCGGAGATGGAGGAAAAAAAGTGAATTTGATTAAAATGAAATGTGCTGTGAGTGGAGCAGAGCAGCATGCGGCAGGGAAACATCACTGATCTCAGGCGACCTGACTGTGGCAGAGTGAGAGACTCTGATTCATCTCCACCCTCTGGCCAAACACCAGAAATAAGAGCCAGATTTAGCTGCGTCTGTGTCCAGGAGATGGCAGACTTTCTCCTGCCGTCAGTCAACAGTCAACACTATTCCATAATTCCAGTCATTTTTAGAGAAAAGTCAGCTTTGTCTCCCTCAACATGATGCTGTAAAAACCACTTTGTACCAGTTTTTTTTAAATGTCAAAATGTCTCTTTTAAAAAAAACACTTTTCCCATTCATTAATATTAATGTGCACATGTTGTAATCAAATGGGATTTGTAATACCTCATGTTAAGAGGCTATTTTAATTTGTAATTTTGTTATGGGGCTCTTTATTCCCTCTCAGTTAATGTAGTGAGTCTCAAAGTAAAACACTATTAGATTATTTATTTTTGAGCTGCTAGCTCGCAAATCCTCAGAGACACCACTCACGTTATACAAGCCTTGTTGAGCACTAACTAGGTTGTTGTACATTGTGTTTTACAGACTCCGACTCTCGGTTTCGCTCCTGTTCTCCAGCGCAGGTGCATCTTGAAACGATCACTCAATAGCTCATGATACGGTTAAGATAAAAACTACATTTTCTTTTGCAAAGGCAAGCTATTAACGCATTCTCTTTCTGTTATTGTGTGTTCACAGATTTGTGAATGCGATTCATCCTTGATTTATTCATTCTAAATGCATCACTTAACCTGGTTTGATATCGCCATTGTTCTCCAGCATACAAATGTATCAGCGGCACATGAGAGCAGCTGCCTTTTGTAAAGATTTCTTTGAACACAGTGTGATTTCCCTCCAAACATCTGCTATCAAAACAAGCCTGTTTGCTTACTGAGCGCTGTACACTAGGTCTTTTCACATTTTTGGGTGCGATCCAGCACTACAGGTGACGAGCAGCGCTATCGGGTAACAGGTGTGAGGCGGTGACTTGAGATGGTGGTGTCCCTTCCCACGCGTCGCCTCTCACCTGTCCTCACCCGCTGTCCGCCTCCTGCGGTTGTCTCAGAGCGGAGCGTCTTCTTCGGCGGCTTTCATCAGACCAGAGGAACGCTAAACCCCTTTGTGTGTCTGAACACTTTAGATTCCCCATCACTCACAGTTAGAAATCTGAGAAAGGCCCAATCAACTTAGCAGACCATGACTTCAGTCTTCCACTGGCTTCAGCACTCATAATCCCTAGAGATAATACTTGTGTTACAGCAATGCTTTGCTATGATGCGCTTTATCTTAGTGTGGATAATACTGTATGTATCACCAGTGTCAAATTATGGTGTTTGACATTTCTCGTCATTTGGAAAGAAACTAAAAATATTTCACTTATCAGATCCCCTTTTATTTACTCTTCTGGTAGCTTACAGGGATCTTTATAGGAAAATGGATGGACTCTTTTTCCACAGAGCGTTGCTGTTGACAAATGTTTGAACACACTGTGTCGGAATAATTCAACACATTTGAGCATTAAAATTCAAGGAGCCTATGACGATTATTCAGAATACATTTATTTCACAGGCTGCATTCATCTTTGACATTGAATGATTAAGGATTATACACATTGCTTGCTTTTATTCTGTTATTCATCGGAGTAATATTTGTGTTTGTGCCTAAGCGGAATCGTATTCTCCTCAATCTGCTCCCTCGTCTTCTGCCGTACTCTTCCTCTCCTCTGTTTCAGGTATAAAACGACTGTCACCAAAAGCAAACATGTGGATGTCAGCATTAAACCCACACCTGCCAACAAGATCAGCTGAGCAGATGTCGGAGACTCCATTTCACACATGGGGGCACTTGGGGGGGTTTGAACGAGTTGCTGTGTCCCTGTCCAGGTAGGGGCCCTGTCCAAGTGGCAGGGCTCCATGCTCTCATTGACCAGCAGATTAACCCAGACAGTGCTGTAAAGAGGAATTGGTTTCCCCCCGTCTCTGACCACAATGAACAGGTGATGCATTCCCAGGTCCTTCTGTAGAAGCTGCTTAGCTAAGGTGATGTTCCCTGACCTTGAGTCCACCTGGAACGGGCTGCTGTTCTGCACCACATCTGGCGCCACAGCAGTGTATGTGATCTCTGAGTTCAGCCCAGAGTCCTCATCAATGGCATGGATCTTTGTTACCATGCTGCCTGCCACAGCAGAAGGAGAGACAGTCAGGCATGAGGAGTTGCTGCTGGGAAGGATTACTTTTGGCTGGTTGTCATTGATGTCCTCCACAAAGATAGTCACCCTGGCAGTGGACGTCAAAGCGATCGGCTGCCCGTGATCGCTGGCCAGCAAGTAGAGTTCGTAGTGGTCCTCTGTCTCGCGGTCCAGGTTTGTGTTAGTGCGAAGCATCCCCTGTGCATTATCCACAACAAATATTACAGAGCTGTTTACAACTCGCAACTCTGTGTTCCCGTTCTCCCCTTCATCCGGGTCTGTCACCCCGATCCTTCCCACCTGGGCGAACGGTGGCACATTCTCTGGGATGAAAAAGATGAAATGTGGGGTTAGAAAAACAGGTGAATTGTCATTCTGGTCGAGAACACGGATGGACACCGTGGTCACGGACTCCAAGGGAGGAGAGCCGCTATCTCGTGCAAACACAGTGAGTTTGTGTGCACCCTGCTGCTCCCTGTCTAGAGCGGCTGACACAGACATTTGACCTGTCACAGGGTCAATGTTAAAGATGGTAGATGTGTGTTTCTCCAGCATGTAGGTCACCCTGCTGTTGTTCCCGCTGTCTGCATCTGAAGCTGAGACCTGCAGCAGTGGTATCCCTGGCTGGTTGTTTTCCACTACCTCCAGCTGGTAATGAGACTGGGGGAAACGTGGAGGGTTGTCATTGACGTCTACCACCAAAACCCTCAGCACGTGCCTTGAGGGAGTGACAGCAGACGCTTCACTTGATCTCCTGAGGACGATCACAGAAATGTGATGTTCTCTTTTCAACTCATAGTCAAGGGGCTTTGATGTGGAAAGCAGATATTTGCCATTCTGCGGGCTCAAAGTGAAAGGCATTTCACCCTCAATGGCAAGAGACGAGCCTTTAAAGCTGCTGTCACCCTCGAGCTCTAAAACAGCTAAGACAGTGGGGGGCTGGTTCTCCGGTAACAGCATAGTCTGGTTTTCATGCTGCACTATGAACCCGATCTTGATCGTCAGCTCCTGGGTCGCCTTGGGGAGCACAAATACGGTTACCTGAGTGTCTGCTGGGGGGCAGTGATGGCCGCTAGCTAACACTTTTAACACCAGCTCCTCAGAGTTGTCACTCCAGAGGTCCTGTGTTAGTGTGATGTACCCAGTGAGGCTGTCGAGGCTAAAGAGCTTCTTGGCCCGCTCGGAGACTTTGGGACTGAGGGAATAAGTGATGGCAGCGTTTGGGCCTAAATCTGGGTCTGCGGCTTTGACCTGAGCCACCAGCATGTTCTTCGGGGAATCTCCGGGGATGTTGACACTGTGCGGGCTGTCAGGGCTAAAGCGCGGACAGTTGTCGTTAACATCTGTCACCGTGACTATTAAAGTTGCTGTAGCATTTAAAGGGTCCGCACCGCAGTCAGTGGCAACCAATACCATCTGATACTGGTCCTTAGTCTCTCTATCCAGAGCTGTTTGCACAACCAGCATAATGAAAAGCCCGTCTTCAAATTTTAAACCAAAAACTCCATTATCATCATCCGAATATTCAAGTTGGTACTGTAGGTCTCCATTTAGACCGGCGTCCCTGTCCTGAGCCTGGTCATCCAATAAAAAACTGGTCCCCACAGTCACGTCCTCAGAAATCCTCAGGTGTATCTCACTGCTTTCAAAGCGAGGCGTGTTGTCATTGATGTCTTCTATGATCACAGAAAACTGTATAAGATCCCCTGAGGGCTTGACAATAGCATAGAGTAGAATAATGCATTCTTCTGCTTTTGTCTCCTTGGGGCAGAGAGCCTCGCGATCTATCTTTTTCTCAGTGGTGTAGAAATTCCCTGTGTTTCTGTCCATCCACAGGTAATCCTGGTTCAGGAGCTGGTACGGTGGTGGGAAGTGTTCACCGAGTGACCCGACGAGAGTGCCAGGTTCCTGTTCCTCTAGGATGGAAAACCGGACAGAGCCACACATGATCTGCCTGACATGGACCAAAAGCAGCAGATTCTGTCGGAGAAAGAAACAAACTGTGAGCGAAACAATTTTTTTGTTTTTTATTTGAGGCCATGATTTGGCAGCCATGTCGTTGCCCTTTAGTCTGACAAGATACGTTTTTTCAAGGTGGTTCAAACTTCATGCCTCAGTGAGCTCTTTCAAAAACAGGCAACTGCACAATCATGGTAACTTGATGCCCTCTCCCTGATCTCAAACTAAACTCACGTACAAATAAAACACACAAAACAAAAGGCAAACAGGAAATCATGGACTTGATGTTCAGGGAAAAAAACACTTCTGTACATTTCCACAGTTATAGCAATATTTCAGTATTTCATATATTTGAGGATAGTTTGTTAAATGTTGCTGTTGTCTCCATCAGGTCTTCCAGCACACATTCAGTTCACTGTTTTAATTACACAATACAGAATAACACTACACATACACCTCTACACTCAGAAACGCAGAGACCACAATGACTCACTGACCTGCAGCAGTCCAGCCCAGTTCATATTATCAGGAGTCCCATGACCCATTGCCCTCACACATGTTACCCAAGTTCCCCGGCAGCGACTGAACGCCGGGGACGGAGGCAGCAACCTAAACCTGTACAGCTGAAGGCATAATTCCTCACATGCCCCTCCCACAACACTGAGCATACCTTGTGTATGAGGCTGACACAAGAGACGTGAGGGAGGGACAACAGGTTTCACCTGCATCACATGTTAGTACAACAACACAAATTCCTGATGAATAGAATGAGTAAGCATGAGGCTTATGTTGTGTACATATCTTGTCTCTAAACTCAGCAGGATTTTTATGGAAATATCAAATGTGATTACACACCAATTTCTATTCACATGCTATAATGCAGTTTTCTCAATGTTTCATTTCCTAACCTGTGTATTAAAAAAAAAATGAACATCATTAACTGTTGTCCTAAAGTAAGTGTGGGTAAAAATCTACAGTGTACAAAGTTTCAGTTTAACTGTTGACCGTTCACTTGTAATGGATTACTTTAAACTGTCTCAGTAAAAATGGCTCATGTGACCCTCAAACCTGCACAGCTGATTTTTAGAGGTAAAAACTTACTTTGAGCAGCCTCCATCAACAGAGCAAGGTACTGCAGCACTTACAACAGAATTATAATATGAAAATGTGGTGTTGATACTCTATTATTCAAGTGCGTTTTCTTTCCTGACTGCTACAGTCAGGACCTTCAGTAAAAATGCAGCCAATCAAAAATATATCGTGAAATAAAAGCATCCCAGTAGACTGTATAACTTTTAAGATGATACCTGACTATATATTATGTCAGAGCCTCTACAATGTACTTGGGTTGATGGCCGCAGTTTTATTCTTCCATAAAGCTTATACACTGACTCTTTAAGGTCCTCTGTAAAATCCTTCTGTTGCCAACTGCTGAAGTGTGAACACTTCAGCGAGCCACACAGAGGAATACTAACTTTTAAACTCAAAGTTTTACTTTGAATCCAAAACCTTGAAAAAAAAAAAAAAAAATCCCCAGAGCAACACTCAAGTGGAGTTGCATAATGTCGTCTTTCTTTCCGTCTGTCTCATGTGCGTGTGGTTTTCCTTTTCAACTTTCCGCCCACTTTTTTTCCATTTGCTCTGAGGTTTTTCTGTGACGTGATTGGCTGAGGGCTTCATGATAAAAGTCTACAGTCCTGTCCTGAGTTTTAAACCACTCTGGACACACACTTTAACACACACACAAACCCAGAGCAGCTCGACGGCATCTTCATTTCACTGTTCCAGCATGTCCTCCTACATTGCTACAGGTGAGTCCTCAACCGGGGGCCTTTAAGAAACTGCTCCCAGCAGTTAAATACTTCAGACTGTCTCATATATTTATTTTACTATTAATTTTCCACTCTTGTCTAATCAGTAACAGTTTGCCTGTTATATTTTCATTTGACACATTTTCTAATTAATGTTATTTGTTGGTTTGCATAGACTTAAATCAAAGGGCACATTTTGAATTTGAGTACATGCTCGTGCTATGTTCTATTAAATTAAAAAATGTTAATAACCTTTTTTCTTAAAGTTGACTGGTGCAGCTTTGTCCCATGCCCGTTTAATAATTCAATTAATTTGTGTTGATCCTAAACTGCATCTGTTGCGTTTATTGCAGTTTTGATTTACTGCAAAGCACAGATCTTTTGATTTTTGTAATATTTTTCTATCACAGTTTACAGACCAGGTATTTTAGTTTTCTGACACAGCCCATTGGCATAAAATTCAACTGCAGGTTTTTTTTTTCTAGCTTTGACCAACAAGATATTTGTTAGCTATTCATATTGAAATCTCCTGAGCTTAACTAGGGCTTTTAAACGTGATTTGACCTTGCTGCGTTGTTGTATAGATGCATATAATTTTCACTTCTATCACAGAGTAATTTTGCCCGTCAGTGCTTAGTTGGTTCTCATGAAAACGCCTCAGCTGATCTTAACATTCTCCTTCAGTGATGTAGCGTGACTTCCTTCCAACTCCTGTCACTTTTTCCACAGACTTGGAGCTGGAACTGGGCGAGCTGCTTCAGGAGTTCCAGGACGTGGTGGAGGAGCTGAAGGCTCCGTCTCAAAGCAAACCGCACACTTACCAGCAGTTCCTGAAGGCCAAAGGTCGCTCGGGGCAGGGGGACGACAGCGGAGTTGAGGACTCTGATTACAGTGAGTGATGAAGGAGCAATGTCACTGTGATTATAACAATGTCTTGCTGTAAGTAAAGAGCACAGGGAGGAAAAGACATAATTTACCGCATCATTTGCTGGTGAGTGAGGTTGTGTGAAGGCCCCGTGGGTGTCGGCTGTGGCCCTTTATCAGCCCAAACAACTGCTGCATGACACTTTTAATTTGCATGAAATTAGTGTTACAAGAGGACACTTCCCCGTACACTTCTTATAAATGGGCTGCTTTTCTCATGACAATAGCTGTGTACTGGAATGAACTGCATTTATGGAAACCCCATCTTTTGTAATCGTCGAGTTTTCTTTTTGTTTTGTTGCTCCCGTTGTTTGGCGGTTGTGAGATGAAAGCGGAGGGTGCGTTTTTCTGCTCCCATGTGTCATCATTATTGAAAGTATTTTGGCCCCCTAATGTTTCAACAGGCAAGCCGCTTTCAAAAAGCTGACACTTGGGAGCCGCTAACAGTGAGGGCGGTTACCTTCACTTTACTGCATGTTGTTATCATTATCTGCTACTCCTGCATTGTGTGGAAATTACTGTTGTTGTTGATCATTTGCATTGGCAGGCCTCAGTGCTTGTCTTCAGTTTATTTTCTCCACTCACTCCCTCCTCTCTCTCACCACCACCCCCCCAGGCAGCGAGGCTTCTTTGGGAAACAGTTTGAACACCAGCGAGGAGGAGCTTCACACAGCAGGCATCACGCTGGCACCGAAAGGTACTGGAGGCTTCCATCTATCTCTTTCCACATAGCCACGCGTCTTACAGTGATCACTATCGCTGTTGCTCTGATCACTATCACAGCCACACAAAAACTCTGTACATAAGGCTGCGAGCGCTTTTGTTTTTACACAACAAAGCCCCTGCCGCTGCGTCTGTGACGTCTCAGTCCCCCCCCCACTGTTTTTCCGAGGCACTTGCAGGGGTCGTTAATGCTGATGGTGGCTCAGGTGGGGGGGAAGCAGTTGTATTTTGTTTCATGCAAATGCAAAGACTCCCCTTAAATTTCAATGGATGAAACCAAGAATGTAACCAGGAGGCGTCTGTGTTTGTAGAAAATACCTTTACTCACATATTTTCAGGAGAGATTCTTGTGGGATCCATCATGCTGTCGAGGTCTTATAGTACTTAAGATCAGCTTTATCTCCGTTCGTAGAAAAGAAGCTTGAAAATGTTTTTGCCGGTCCAAAAGCAGTTTGGTTCAGATGTAATTCTGGGACTTAGATTAGCTTTCAGCTTGTGCTCCAAAGGAAATACCACTGAACTGAGCTGCACAAAAAAAAAAAAAGTTCCATGCTGCCTTATTTTTTCTATACTTTCTCAAATTCCGTTTCTTTCTGTCCTCTCTCTGCAGCCAAGCTGGGAGACACAAGGGAACTTGAGAGCTTTATCGACATGTTGGACCGGGAACTCACTGGTGCGTATTTAAAGAATTATACCCCCTATCACTCAATCTTTACTTTATTCCTCTTGCACATAAGCTGACAAGGCAGACGGCTGCAGCGTGTGATGCCGGTGGCGGGTCCATGTGGACTCCGTGTTTTGTTGCACATTGAAAAACAGAGTGTGTACTAGTAGCCACCTTGCTTCTACTCTGTACTGCCCTCCTCTGCTGTTTATCTTTGAGCACCTCTTGTGTGTAAATGCCGTGTCTGGGGACTCAGGTGGACTATCTGCACGGCCTCTAGTGATAATAGCATACTTGACTACATAAGCATAGTGATCCTGCTATCAGTTCTAAAGCAGTGTTATTTCAGAGGACTGCCAACACATACATGTCTCTGCACACAGACACTCACTCTACAAAGAACAAATCATGCATTTTCAGCTATCAGCTCTCTCAACACAGGGAGAATTAATGTTATGAATTAATTGCAACTCCCCCTGTATCCTAACAAGACTCACTTATTAGTCTGTATATATTTGTGTGAGTGTTAATATGTGCTTTTTCCCCCTCTTATTCTAGCTTCTGAGCTTTTGTGTTTTTTTTCTCTCCCCCCGCTCTCTTGCAGAGATGTGAACAGAGAGCAATAGTGAGCCACGCAGAGGGGGGAGGAACAGGCCGGGGGCGACGTGGCTGGCTACTGCCGAGCAGACAGGCAGATCTTCACCAGAGCAGATCCGAGGGAGCAAATGCTCCCCTGGCTGCTCTGGGGGAAAAGGTTAACATCAGAAATTAAAAGGGCAATCCATTCCAAAAAAAATGTGAGAACACCCTCAGACCCTCCGCAGTGCTGTGTCCAGCTGGCGAGATGACGTCCCTGCAGCATCAGATCCGATATGTGTAACATATTCTCCAAACTAGACAAAGCTTTCATCTGTCGGTGCATCTGGAAAAACGCATAGAAAGTATGTACACGCCACAATTGAAATTCCTGAGGGCTATGCAAGGGTCCTAAATCCTCAGTGCCATATATACCTATTTTTAAAAGGATGTTGATCTTTGTTGTTCAGAATCACAGATGGCACTTTAGTACAACTAATCACAAATCCATTGGGTTCAGATCTGCTGTGTTACATCAAATGTCATTTTTATGCTGACCTTCTTTCCAGTGTACAGTTGTGAATATTTTTTTTATATAAATTGTTGTATAGATCGATGCAAATATAAATAAAATGACATATTGATTCAAATGTTGTACTATATTTTATTCTTTGTTGACATGGAGAAGTAAATTTGACCACACAAACACACACTGTTGAAAGTGTTTCACTCCTGACTGTACTGCCAACAAACTATATTCTCACCTACCCCTTCACTAAACTTGCTGTCGCCGGTGTCGCACCACATGTCTCCAGAGCCCTTCACCCATTCTTCTTTGTTTGTTCTCTCTGCTTCCTGTTTGTCTACCCTGGTTACGCTCTGAGTTTCACTTCTGCCATGTGTGATCAGGAAATGTCAGAAACCACGTGAAGACCGCCTAAAGAGGAAATGCATTGGCTGTGGTGAAGAGAAACAATACTCATTTAGAATTTGTGCTCTGACGTCATAACGCCCTAACACAAATCTGAGGTCTGTACAGTAGGAAGGAAACATTCTGCTTTGCTTCACTGTAAAAGAACATCTCAGTACTTAACCTTGCTTGACTTACTGTATGTGTCACCCACTTATCAAGCAGCACAGCTTAGAGAAACCGACGAGGTGAATGTTGTGTAGTGTGATTTTTCACTTTTAAAATAACAGACATCAGCATTATATCCACCTGTAATATGCAAAAATAGTTTTACACTGCTAAAGAATGACGACCTACAAGCGACGGTCAACAAATCTTAATCTATGCTGCGTATTGGGGAGCGGCTACAGCTCAGGAGGAAGAGTGAGGCGTTAATTGAAAGGCGGTGGTTGATCCCCAACTCTGAGCATCAGTATCCTTGGGCCAAACACTGAACTGCAAATATATTTGAGTGTATGTGTGAGTGGTCGATCAGACTAGAAAAGCGCTCCAAAAATACAGTCAATGCACTGTAGTTACACGCAAGATTCTGTTTAAAGTAAAGGAAAAGTTTAGCATTCTGGAAAGAGAGAACTCGCGGTCCAACAAGTTATCGAGTCTTTATTTTTTCCTCCTTAAATCCCCAGACAGCTTGTTGATACAACCAGCCATCCATACCAGCGGCCCTAGTGATATATTGTGGAATAGACTTCTTGTTGGACCTGCTTTTTGACATGTCAGCGGAGGCGGTCGAAGGAAGGAAGGCTGGACATTAAAGATAGAGCACGGTCTCTTGTTTATGACTCTTTTTAAAGACACAAAGTTCAGGTCAGCTCTGAACTCGGGCCAACTATTTAACCCTGGTGACCAGGACGAGAGCTTGTGCTGTTGCAGGGGGGATAGAGGCAGAGAAGGAAGTAGCACTGAGAGCAAATCTGACATTACTGTAAAGCAAAGAGGAATAGTGGAAGCTGAAGCAGAAAGTGACCATGACTTAAGACAATGGGGAAATACTCTGGGGGTGTAGAGTAACCTGTTCCTCCTGTGTTGTCTTGTTCCTCTCTGAGAAAGCTGAGGACGACTGATTGAGGCCACAGATGCTGCAGGATGAGTTTTCTTCGGGATGATGGAACTTCCCTCAAACAAAGGGCACATCCTGTTTTCACAGACTGTAGGTGAGGAACTGCAACTATGCAGGAAACATGTTGATGTAGTAAAGATGAAAATGAAAGAGATTAAATTAGAATTCCCACTTTGTGCTTTTGTATCAGTGTGTCTGAGATCTGTTTCCAAGGGCTGATCTAGAGGTGGGGCCAGGGGGGCGCTGGCCCTGCTGAAATCTCACTGGCCCCTGAGGTGCCCCTGTCCTGTCGGCAATCTGCAACAATTCTGCAACAACCACCTAAATGCTTCCCGTGAACACCGGTATGTGCATGCCCAGCGTATGTGAGTGGTCACGTGAAATGTGATTTCAGGCGTGTTAGTATGGACAGAGATTCAAACTGATGCAGAGTCAAAAAATAGGGTTCATTTTAGTTTGGAAATACTGTTTTCCAACATAAACAATTGCCTGGATGTAGACTTAAATGCTTTAATCCACATTTTCATTGCATGTGCAAAACTCCCCATCAGAAAATAATGCTGTGTGATTTTTATTAGATTCCTCTTCAGTGGGATCAGATGTAATTTGTCAGTTTGTCTTATGGGAACACCTCCTCTTTGTTTGTGTGCTAATTAGGTTGGTGATGATTGGCAGCGCACTAAAGTAAGAGGCCAATATGTTAGCCAGTCGCCTTGTTTAGATAACAGAGTAAATGATGAATGAACTGAGTCCATTAGCTGATAAATTAAAATGAATTGGTGTTATGATGAGACAGTGAATGGTCTTAAGAGATGAAGACATAATGAATATCATGTTGTAGCCCTCATCACCTATCGTCGGCGGCATCATGGTAATAAATGTCACGTATAGGCTCTAAAATCTCTGCACACAATGCTGGTTTGTTTTAAACTAGTTACCGAGCTAATGAAGATGTAATTGAGTATAGCAGAGAGGAGACACTTGTTATTATCAGACAATGAGTAAATGAAGCAGATATTGCCTGTGCAGCGAGGCTATCATGGCCGAGATGAGAGCAGCATGCAGAGCATACAGTGTTCTGTCATCTGCATGATGAGAGACCGGAGCAACGCCGCTCCCCTGAGAGAGCTCCTCAAATGGTCCAGACTAACACTGCTCTCCCAAGGAATTAGCTGGCTCCCGCACGCACGCACACACGGAGTGGGTCTTACATAACCGAGGTCATCCCTGAGCCCTGATCAAGGACACAGATCACTGATTTGTTATTCTTGCAGAGCTCACACTAGGCAGAGCGAGGTGCCTGAACCATAAAGGACTTGATGGTACACTGTGAAATTATATCTCTCATATGGCATCTCTTCAAAGTGCCGAGAAATTCATGTCGGCCGTAAATAATGGAAAACCATTTCTCAGTTATTCTGATATAGTGGCATAAGAGGACAGTAAACACTGATATGATATGCAGCAGTGACTGTGGCCGTGTTGCATAGCTTGATCTTTTTTTCAGCCACAAGAGCAGAATGGTTCTAGGAATGCCGATGTTGCCTAAGGGTCAAATGGTAGTCGGTCCATTAGTTTCATTCGCACTGAAATATCTGAACTGTTGAATCGATTGCCATGTAATTTAGGATAGAGATTCATGGTACTCAGTGGATAAATTGTAAGCTGCTTTCAGACATGAACTGAACTCTGCAGAACGTCCGTATTTTCTCTGGATTGATGTGTATTTACCATGTCCCATCGACTAACATAGGGGAGGCTGAGGATTTATGACCAATACTGCAGCCAGCCACCAGGTTGCGATCGAGACGCTTTGGCTTCACTTTTGTGGAGCTGTAATTGACGTCCATCTTTGTATACAGACTACGGGGCCTTAGATATCCCATTACTTACCATAAATACCTGTAATAGTAATGGCAACATTATTATAAGCCAATGTTTGTTAAGATGGTGATGAATAAACCTTCCTCCTGCTTGTCAGCTATATTAGAATTGTACATTCAAATAATAATAATAAGAACTCATTATAGTTGTGAGCATGTTAATGGCCTATTTCATTGTTCGTTTCTGTTACGTAAATCTGAGTGCCCACCTATATGGTCATTTCCTGTTTTCCTCAGACAGTGTACAGGAGCAGGAAACCAGTGGAATTCCTTTACAGAGGATTTCATTCCCAAAGAATGTGACTTATTCAGTCTTCAAATGAGCCATTACGTCACTGCTGACTGGGGATTTCTTGATGCCATTTCCCCCTTCCTCTTTCAACTCAGACATGGAATTTACTTGAATTCATAACTGAAACTCAAACAAGAAACACAATATACGGGTAAAAAGCAGCTGAAAAATGTTACAAGTCCATTCTTGGTTTATAGAGCACTCCTGTTTTTCAGATAAAGCTCAAGTTAAAAGTTGAGCACTGGTGAGAAGAAACAAGCTGTGAGAAGATGTGCTTCCCAAATGAAGTTGACAGCGAACATAGTTTGAGTAAATGCCATGGGCTACCTAGTGGGCAGGAAAAAACTGTGCTCTTTCTTGTAATTCAGCGAGCTAGCAATCTGTCAGTCTCACAAGGAGCTCTCTGTGCATCTTCACTGCTGTGAGAATGTTTCCAGTGTGATTGTAGCCTCAGTAGAGCAGATAGAAACAAATGTGGACAACTTTTAAGATCCAACAGTAAGTTTAAGAGTAGCCTGCGGTGCCCACAATGCTTTGCTACTGAGCGTTTTATTGTAGTGATATGAAAATAATTGTTGTGGTGAGAATGATACTTTCGACCATAGACTGTATAAGATTGAAACACCAAATGTGAAGCCAAAGTGTGTTGATTACCAACTGGTGGCTGGTTGCAGTAGGGGTCATAAATCATGCCTCCTCCATGTAAGTGGATGGGATGTGGTCCAAACTAAAAAAATAATTAATAAGGTGTATTATAAGTGTGATAAAAATATGTAGCATTCATGGAGTAATACAGAACTAGTGACTCACAGAAATAATGAGAAATTGGAATAAAGTGAGTTACATGGGACAGTTACCTAATACTAAAGGGGCTATATGTGGATATTTGTTTGAGAACTGCCAGGGTTGGTTTTAATTACTTATCTGATGATGTAAAAGTGAGGTGAAATGTCATGATGACTGCTGACACTGACTCGTGATTGGCCCGAGCATGTGTATCAGTAGGACCCACGGTGCTGCATCCATCTGAACGCTATTGCGCTGACTCTGGCTCCAAACATGCGAGATTGCAAGATTTAAGTTACATTTCTGGATAGTGGGAGGAAGAAGGGATGCCTCACTCGTCTTTACATGTTTGCTTCTGACTAACTGATTCGCTCACATCATTGTATCACACATAATATCATGATATCGTAGCATAAAGCAGGGAATTTAAATCTATTTAATGTAGGATCAGTGATTTTTTTTAATTGTGCATAAACCACTGAGACAGTGACCCACATTTTGAGATATGTATTTTAGAATCCAGATTTGATTTCTACCAGCAAAACCACTGAATCTTAATAAAATAAATTGCTATGGCATGGTTAAATATGAACAATATCAGAGAAAAAAAATATTCAAAGATCTAATCAATTTATTAGAAGCATAGAGTCCTGC